AGAATTAACTAAACAAATAGTTTATAAATATTAATAAAATTGCAGCCACAACTCTAGATTTGACCAAAATGCCTGAATGAAAGAAGCTTCTAAGATAAAGGAAAATGTATCCAAACCATTTATTTTCACCGAAAGGAAGAAAGTCTCCTCAGCTGAATTTAGACACTTAGCAACAAACTTGGCTGTAAATGTTTGCCCAAAGAACCAAAAGGACAATTAAAATGTTCCTGTGAAAACAACAACCAGATCTTAAGGCTCTGATGTTTGAAGTAAGAGACACTTAAGATTTACCCAGAACTTTCTTCTTCCTCTCCCACCCACTGAAAAATTTGAAACATAAATTCTCATTTCTTTTTCTATTTTCTGCCAAAAACACACACTCACTGATAAACTCCACCAGTGATTCATTACATGCCATCATCCCCAAGGTCTCCAGTATAAATGCCATTTTAAATGAGTCTCTTGTTTTATTAATACGTAACAGACATTTAATAGCAATGATGGTGCCAATGATTATGACCATATCATACCATTAAAATCCAGACGTCTCTGTAGTGACAGAGGCAAAGGCACTGGCCCCCGGGTTCTTTCTCTTATTCTCATTTCCTTAGCACTGACTGGGCTGGGATTCATTTAAAAGTAGAAAAAGTAGGGTGTAACCATTCCTCTCATGTTTCCCCTTTTCTTTTTTCTATGGATCAATTTCATTTTCTCTACCTCTCCAGTCTTTATCCATAAAGGGAAGAGGGAAAAATAGAAAAGAATGAGAGAGTGAAGAAGAAAAGGGAAGAAAGTCTGGTGAATTAAAATTTAGGTTGAGGGGTCTATATTCATTTTAAATGTTTTAACATGAAGTAAAAAAATCATAACTATATCAAAATGATGCCCATTTTAATTTCTGGATATTTCATATATTATTATCTATTTGCTCCTTTCCTGAAGTCCTAGTCTTCCCTAGAACCCTCATCAGAAGAGTTCTTTCATTTACTAGTCAAAGAATGAAGTTGATTATGAATGCACAAGACAGCCCTCATCAATGAATTCATGTACAAAGAAGACACTGCTGCATTCTATTGGTCTCATCCCAAAGGGAACTTCTAAAGCCCATATTTACTTGAAACTCTAGAAAAGGACCTGCTAGGTTTTTAGAGTCACTTTAGCTTCTGGGGACCTCTGGCTGTCATTATAATGACCTCCTCGGAACCTATCCACTTTGGGTCCTGATCAAAACCTTCACTTCTGACAGGATCCTAACCATTGAGGTCGTATGAATGAAATGGTCTTGGACAAGTATTGCTCCCACTGCCTCAGTAGATGACAACCTTCAAACACGCCATGTCCCAGAGGCAAGGATGATGACAAAGTTGGTTAGAGTAGCATGCAGGGAGTGAGAGAGATAATATATAACAGTTCTGCTCTGTCCAGGTACTGTCCTAGAAGTGAACGATTGTTAATGCTCCTTTGGTGTAAGTTCCACGAGGAAGTTTTGGTCATCACAGCCATTTACAAACAATGATCAGGAGATCTGGGGTTAGAATAGGGCAGAAACACACTGGTGGTATACCTATCATTCCCTGTTTACATGCAGTAATAGGGGGCTTAAGACACATTTTCTTAGCCACAGTTCCCGACCCTCTATTTCCAAAGCAAAACCAGAAATTGAAACATAGGTATACAGAATTGTCAAATTGCATTAGTCACTAAGATCTTTTCATTTTATCTCTTTAAATATAACTCCAATCTACCCCTTCCTCCTCTTCCCTTCTCACCACTGACCGTACTTAAACTCTCATCACTTCTCTATTCCTTAGTTTTGATAAACTACTGAAATACTAGTCAGTAAGTACATCAAGGATGAGAAAAGGCAAGTAATCTTTATCAGTTGCTTTAGGTGTATGTAAGTCCATGCTCAGTTAACAAGGGGAGAGATGGATATAGCCCAAATTTTGCCTCTTCCAGAATAGTTTCCATAACTGCAATAGTTCACAGGTGAGTTTTCTGCCCCTTGGGCAGTTCTATGGAGCTAATAGAGGGCCCATCTGATATTCGTTAGACCTTGCCCTTTCAGTATCTCTGTGACTTTAAGGTTGTCATTCAGTTGAGAGTCTAACAAATAAGATGGGCTGTCTCAGAGAAACGATTACTACAAGTTTTAGTACAATAGCTGACTGCTTGATGAATTAGCACACATCATGTTCAGTATATTCAATATGAAACTAATAATCTTCTACTTCTTCCTCCAATCTAATCATCTCCTCTGCTTGTATTTTCTTGTTGTGGAAGTGGCACCACCTTCTTCCCAGAAATCTGAGTATCTTCCTTAACTCCTTCTTATTCTTCACATCTTATCAATTATTAAGTTCGTAAATAATTCTCCAGTCAGCCTCCCTCTTTTCCAAACCCACGGCTACCAGCAGTTCAGACCCAGTCTCACTCCCTTAAACTACTGATCATCGGAACAGTCCGTTCTGCTCTTACTCAGTTTCTTTTCCTTCTCTCCAAATTGCATTTTCTACGATAAAAATTTGATGCCACTTTGTTCCTTAGAACCTTTCGTTTCTCAAGGTTATAACAAGAAGTCTTGATTCCTTAGTCAAACCTGACTCAACTCTTGCCCCTAATAAACTTTTCCAGACTAATCTCCAGTTCTCAGTAGGTGTCAAAAAGATCCCAATTCATCAGTACAATTTACTGCTTTGCCTTTGTTCCAGACTATTTTGCCCTTGACCTTCCTTACTTTGTCCTCTTAAGACTTAGTTAAAGCTTCATAAATGCCAGGATGAGCTCCTTGAACTCCTTCCATTCTAGTGTTGGTTCACCAATCCATGCCTTCAACATGAGACTGATAATAATGGATTCCTCTATGCATTCATCTTCCCCACCAGACTCTGAGCTCTTCTCAATGAGCTTTGTATGCCTAATGTCTGAATTACACTTGAAGCATTGTAGGGTTTAAAAGGCATCCAATAAAAGCCTATTAAAATAATGTAGTAGAAGGATTGATTGCATGAGGCATGAGAGGTGTGCATGGAAGATGAATGAGATGACCTCCAAAGACCTTTCCAACTGTTATTTTCATTTGAGAGTATCAGTCCCTTCCAAGTCACCTCTGTCAGTGACTCCAAGAACAATCACTGCAGTGCATTCATCATATCGAACTCTAGAACTAACATTTCAAGATCAACACGTCCAAAATTAATTCACGTTCTCACACTATCTGCTCCACCTTTCCAATTTCTTGTCTTTGCTATTGACACCATCCTCCTCCCAAAGCTAAAATATACTGGATGGTGTCTTTCTCCCCTCTAAAATTAATGACTGCCTAGTGCTTTGGATTCCTCCTTCTCAAAGACCCATTCATTAAGTCACTTGATTTCCTTACACAGATTTATCAAATTGCGCTTTGCGCTGGACTGCTAAACGTTGACAGTTTGAACCCACCCAGGATTTCTGTGGAAGTCTACTTCTGTTAAGATCACTGCCATTGAAAACCTGAAAACCCAATGACGTGCAGTTCTACTGTGAAATGCATGGGGTCCCCATGAGTCTAATGGACTATATAGTAATGTTGTTGTTAAGTACCATCGAGTCGGTTCCTACTCATAGTGACCCTGCACAAGGGTTCCGAGGCTGTAAATCTTTACGGGAGCAGAATGCCTCATCTTTCTCCCGAGGAACAGCTGGTAGTTCCGAACTGCTGACCTTGAGGTTGGCAGCCTGACTCGTAACCACTACACTACCAGAGCTCCTTATAGTAATAGGCTTGGATTTTTCCTAATTAGTAGTTATGACATTCTGATTTGCACGATATATTTCCATCTGTCTCCACAGTAGATCCTGCAAGGTTTCCGTACTATATCTACAACTCTTAAAACTGTTAGTGCAATGTTTGCATGTAGGTGGCAGGTGTTGGACAACTCTCGGAAGAAAGGTTGAAATGTTAGCCTGCTAGGTTTAAATAGCTTTGGGGCACGGATCTTATTTTATTCTTTTTTGTTTCCCTCCTCTCTGTCTAGTTAGTATATATGAAGGTCATAAGATAGATGAAATACATATTTTTAAAACTGAGCAGTGCATCTGCTATTGTAACTCGGAACTGCTGCAACAACCGTCTGTAATTTTAATAAAAAACATGCTCTGCTTTAAAAAGAAAAAGGTCTCCCAAGTCTCAGCTCCCAGCTAAAACTATCCAAGATCCTGGATTCCCACCCCCTCCAGTGGCCTGATGTGCGGCGGGGGGTGGAGCAATGAGCTAGCTGGGCCTGAGGAGCTGGGGGAGCTGGATGAGGGAAGTCCCGGAAGTCGATGACCAGTGCAAGCTGCCGCCTCTACCGAATCAGCTTGGGCAGTGGTCCCAACAATAACAGGAGCGCTGGCCGGCGGGGGCCACTGGGACCCGAACGCGGGGGCGGGACCAGGGCTGAGAGAGGCGGGTGGGAAGCTTCCGGAGGCAGAAGAGGATTGGAAGAGCGAGATGAGGGGCGGTGTCGCTCGAAGAGTGGGCCGGGGAGCTAACGGGTCGACTGAAGGAGGGAGTTTGTTGATTGGGTGACGTGGAGGGAGACGGTCTAAAACCGACTGTGGATTGGCCGTGGCGGACCTAGGAGGCGTGGCTTACGCGCGCGAGAGGGAGCGCGAGGGAGCTGGCAACCAACCCGCCTGCCAGCCTGCGAGCCAGAGCCGCGGGCGAGTACGGCGAGCCGGGGTTCCTACGAGGAGCGCAGCGCGGGAGGCGTATCCCCAGCTCTACCACTGCCGCTCCGCGGCTTACACTCCCCGCTTCCTCCCCTCCCCTCCCTTGCGCTCCAGCCTGGAGTCTCGGGGCGGGGAGCGGAGGGAAGGGACGAAGGCGGAGGCGGCGAAAGCGGGGTGAGGGGCGGAGAGGGTCCCGGCGCGGGGCGAGGCGCGCGCCGCCTTTCGCTCTCCCGCCGCCACCACCGCCTAGCGTGGTGCCGTGGCCCCGGGGCACCCACTATGCAGGCGGACTGCCAGCAGCCGCGATGGCGAGCCGGGCTGAGCTGAGAGCCGGGCGCAGCCCACAGAGCCCCCAAGTCCGGGCCGTGGTCGCCGCCCCCGCCCGGGCCGCGCTCTCCTTTTACAGCGCCCGCTCCTTCTCTCCCTGCTCCAACTCCTCCTGCTCCTCCTCCATGCCCCTGCTCCTCCTGCTCTTACTTATTTTCCTCCTGCTGCTTGAGGACGCAGGCGCCCAGCAAGGTGAGTGGCCCCGGGGGAATGCCGGAGCTGGGGGCGGTGGGGGCGGGGTACCTCCGGGGTGCCACTCTCCCGGCCCCGAAGCCGGATCTGCGCCTGGTGTGCAGCTAGACTTGAGGGGTGGGGGACGGGAGCGGAGGCTTCTGCTGTGGGTTCCCCAAGTTGACGAGGCTTTACTTTCTGGCAAGGCCATTCATTTTTCTCAAAAGTGGGAAGTAAGACCCTATATTTTGGCCACTTTCTTGGTATAACGTTTTGGTGAAAATCTTTGGGATGAAAGAGAATTTGTGGAGATTCGACCTCTAAAGTTAAGCCAGGTGAGTGGGAGGACTGAGTAAGAAGGCAAGAAAATTAAATAGTATGGTAAACAGATTTAAATCAAGTCGCGACAGTTATCTTCCTTTGTGAAAGCGCACAGGTTCTAAAGCAAATAAAATCAATTCTGGCAATCTTCGAGTCTTATATTCAGAGCATGCCTTTACAATCCCTGCCTGTTGTTCAGGATGGTTGTCTAGATTGTCTGGGTCTAACACTGGATGTGACCCAAATCAAAGTTGTCAATTGCAGCATTCTACTTTAAAAGGGTAAGCCCTTCCAGAAAGTGACAAAACTTTTTTCCATTTATATTTATTGACAAACGTGTCCCCAAAGCAAGCAAAATTGTTTAATGAATAATTAGCATAATGTAAGAGAATGCAGGCCTGATTTTTTTCCCCTCTCCTTTTAGCCTTGTTTTCAGGCAGTGTATTATCAGTTTTTAAATCAGTTTAGTAGCAATTGTAGAACACATTTTTCCATTGCATTTCCTATTTAGTTGGAATGAGAAGGGTAAGAATTGTTACTTATTTGCTGGGGCAATTTTTTTTTTTTTTTTTTAATTGATCTCCAACCTTATGTCCAGCTTTCTGTTGCTCTGATAAATGGTTTCCAGCAAAGTTTGGAATCATGACCCTAACCTTGTCATTATGAAGGTGCTGAAACTTTGACAGGCATGTGGAAGAGTTACCTATTATAAGAAAAAAAATGTATTCCGTAAATAGTCTTCTGAAATGTAGGCAACATCTCTAGACAATATAGTTAAAAATTTCCTGCATAGAAATATATTTAGATGTTTCATATTCAGGCTTTTGTTGTCTGAAATAAAATACTGAACATCAGCAATTAATAAATTCAGGAGAGTGTGAAATCCTTCTGTCTGTTGAATTTTTAAGTGTTGGGTTGCTAATTGCAAGGTCAGTGGTTCAAGCCCACCAGCTGCTCTGCTGGAGAAAGCTGAGGCTTTACGCTTCTTTAAAGATTTACAGTCTCTGAAACCCTGAGGATCAGTTATACTCTGTCCTGTAAGGTTGCTGTGTATCAGAGTCAACTTGGTGGCAATGGATTTGGTTTTGGATTTTCATGTATTTACCTCCTGGTGTGTGACACTGTAGAATAAGTACTAGACTGCTAACCACAAAGATTTGCAGTCCAAATGCAATTCTCTATGAGTCTGACTGGATGGCACTTAGCAACAACAACTTCCTGATTAAAACAACAACAGTAACAAAAAACCCCATAGTGTTTTATATGGCTAACACTTCATTGCCCATGGGAGCAATCAAAGCATGGGTTTGCTGTAAAAGACGTATTAAAAATGTTAAAAAGCAAAAATGTCACTTTGAGGACTAAAGTATGCTTGTTCCAAGCTATGGTATTTTTAGTTGCCTCATATACATGGTATAGCGCAGTGGGCTAATGCCTCTGACTGCAACGTCTTTGAACTGCAAGGACGGTGGTTCATGCTCACCAGCTGCTCCTTGGAAACCCTGTATAGGGTCTCTATGGGTCAGAATCGACTTGGCGGCACTTAACAACAAATATATGGGAAAGATGGACCATGAATAAGGAAGACTGAAGAAGAATCAATGCATTTGAATTATGGTTTTAATGAAGAATATTAAATAAACCAGGGGTTGCCAGAAGAAGGGACAAATCTGTGTTGGAGGAAGTACAGCCAGAGTGCTCCTTTGAAGCAAGGATAGTGAGACTTTGTCTTATGTACTTTGGATATGTTATTAGGAGAGGCCAGTCCTTGGAGAAGAACACCACGCTTGATAAAGAAGAGGATCAGGGAAAAAGAAGAAAACTTTCAGTTAGGTGAATTGACACAGTGGTTCCAACAGTGGGCTCAAATGTAGTAATAATTGTGAGGATGGTGCAGGTTCCAGGCAGCGTTTCCTTGTATTGTACATAAGATTATGAGTTGGAATAAACTTGACAGTACTTAACAACAACAATAACAAGATTTATTTAGGGTTTACATTGTACCTGGTATATTTCTAAGTAGTTTATGTGCATAACTCACTCTTCAACAAAACCATCTGAAATCAATATTGCCAACCCATTTTGGAATCTATTCATTGGCAATTAACAACACCCCATTTCAAAGATAAGGAACCTTGATACAGAAAGGATTGTTGATAAGCAGAATGTTCCAACTGTTTTTATTTCTGTATCTGAAACTTTACCTTATAAAATCTTGTTACAGTATAGAATGAGTTGCATACCTTTCCCCCAAAAGAAAGGGGGCTAGAGTATGGGCTAGAGTATGATATAAATTACCTTGTTTTTAGAATTTCTCAAGCCAAGTCTAATATTTTCTGTTACTGTGTCATTTAATATAGATTTCAATCTGGATTAACCAAATAGAAATGCCATTAATAAAAAGGCCTGATTTCTTATCTTTTGAGTTGATTGGGTAAATCTTAACTCATTTGATGTCTTTGTATCTCAGTTTTCTGTAGCTTATCTCACATATTTCTTACAGCTTTAATGAAGATAATAGAACCAAGGAGTTTTTTGTTTTGTTTTAAATGTTTTATTGTGAATTATATGGTAGTTTACATGAGAGAACTTTAGTTTTACATTCATTCCATCGTATATCATCTCATTGCCATGGTTCCAATCC